AAATTTGGATGTTTATCTTGCTGGGATCCTATGACCCCTGCTGACTTCCTGCCCCTGGGGCAGGGGGCTGGACTTGATGATCTTCCGAGATCCCTTCCAGCCCTAATGTCTATGAAATCTATGAAATCTATGAAACTGGACAAGGAAAAAAAAAGCAGGAGCAATTTGAAAGCTAAAGCAATTCTAAGGGATGAACTACAAAAAAGTCACAACGCCATCTGTTTGCACACAACAAATCCATGGATGTGATGCTTTAATTCCCAGCAAGCCAAACTAAATTATGTCTGAGGAATTTTAATTTAATGTGCCAGAAAGACTTTTAAAGCATCTGGAAAACCCACTCATACAGTCACACAGTTGCAGTGCCAGAAAGGGAAAAATGTGGTGTGTACAAAAGCCCCCAGTAACTTTCTGGGCACAACTCAAAGTGCTGGTTTTGACCTATAAGGCCCTACCTGGTCTGGGCCCTATGTACCCAAGGGACTGTCTTCTCCCTTATGCCCCATTGTGATGTCCAAGGCCAGCTGAGAGCAGCCTCTTTCAAGTACCATCCGTACACCAACTCCACTTGTTGGCTACAAATGTCCAACTTGGGATCCTTAAAATTCTGGTTTATTAGGCGGATTGAAACACTGTAATGAAGTCAAATCATAAACCTTGGGGCTGGTCCCCTTACACACACACACATGCACACACACAGTAGCAAGCTACAAGAGTCTGGTATAACTATCCTACAAGCGCTGCAGTCTGCCGTCAATGGCCAGTCAAGGCTTCTTCCAGCGTGGTGTTATCCTCCAGAAGGGGGTTGCCGGCTGGTCCTTCTGGCTGGACAGGTCAGATGCTGGTCAAGTTTGAGATCAAGAGGGCGCCGCTGAGGGTCACTTTTCACTGCGTTTTATCTGTCCTTTGCAGACTTTGGTGACTCCCCGGTTTTCAGGTTTGCCTAATCCAGGGGTGGTTGACCCTCGTGGGACTTCCCCCTTGGTGGCTACTGGATGGCATCTGTCAGCCCCAGGGGTCGTGTACGTGCAGGTTTGGGAGTTCATTGATGAATTTACCGCTGTCGTGAATAGGGCTTTGGGAGCAGTCGATCTGGAGATATTCAGCCCCAAAAGTTGGTCCCTGGCATTGATTAACTCAGACTGGGGCTTCTAGCCCTTGAACAGTGAAGTTTAGAGAATTCCCGGTTGCTACATTGTCTCCTATTGATTTCTTCCGTTGGTTGATCTGTGGTTTCCCTAGGTGTTAATTGCCACTTGTTACTGAAGCCTGCTACTGTGTTAGGCAGACAAGGTTCCTTGGGTGAATCTGATATCAGATTCACCCAATGAACCTTGTCTGCCTATGTCCTTAGACCAACACAGCTACAACCTACACGCTACTGTGTTACGCATTCAATCACTGATTCACTAGCTCTTTCAGGGTCCTGCCTGATACAGGGAAGCAGAGGTTTGATTCCTGCCCTTGTTAATATTGTTACAGTGTATAACTTACTTCTAAAACTAAAACACATTTAGTTAAAAGATGAAGAGTATAAAATATAAGCTACAAGAGTAATGCCATGGCACACAAATAGCTAACCAAAAAACAAAATACAAGGGGAGATACAAAATGCGCACACACAAACTTTAAAACACAATTCCTTATCTTATAATGGAAGGAAGGAAAGGTAGAAAAGGAGAAACATATCCAAAGAGGGGAAAGCAAATGCAGGCAAGAGGAAAAGGGGGCTTTCTGCTACACAGTCAGTGAAAATTCACCACAGTTGCTCCTAAGTTCTGGAATTCGCTCTCTCTCGTGGCCCACCCAAACCTGGACATCTTTTGGAAGTGATATAAAGCCTTATTTGGACATGCAATCACCCAACGAAACTAGGATGAAATGTCATTTTGTGGGGAGGGGCTCTTTGTTTCATCTTGATGTTCTAATCTGCTTTTAAGCTGTTTTGGTCCTCTTGTCACTCTCCTCTTTTCAAGTCATTCTGTTTTCTTAATGCAAGCTGCCCTCAGCGTTTGTTGGGAGAGACAGCATATAAAGCAAATTAATAAAGCAGTGATTCTCAACCAGGGCACCACAAATACATTAGGTGTGCATGCATGATTCACAAGATTTCAAATAGGAATCCATCATGTTAACAACATTCTGACCTGTTATAGTCCTGAGTCCTTTGCAATAGAAGAATTGATTGTTTTTTGGTAGACAAAAAGCAAGTGAACAATAAGAGGTGACATTTTCTGAGGGATGCCTTAAGCCTATAAAGGTGAGAACCATTGAAATAAATAAGATGGAAACAGTAGTAAATCTGCCATGGTTCACTCCTATTGTGCCTGTCATAAAGCCAATTTTTTTTTTCAAATATATGCTGACAAATGTATGATAATGCACTGCAGAAACATCCATATCAGATTCCTTGCCACTTCTACTGTAATAGCCTTATCAGAGCAGAACCCATGCAAGAATTAGTTGTTTGACTGTGAGAAGTATTACTCCACATAGCCAATGCTGGCCTAAAACTAGAGAAACTGTTTTGTGGGTAACCAGTGTTGAGTTCCTGGGATTCTGAGTTGACATAAATGGAATTCACCCAATTCATGCAAAAGTAGAAGCAATTCTGAGAAGAAATTCAGTCTGCAACACCCTGTCTCAAAACTCAACACAATAGCAAGCAGGCCTTTTGCTGTGCCGTTCCTTTTGATGTGTGGGAGCCTATCAAGTAGATCTATAAGCTCCCCTTGATGAGGGGGGAATGGGAGTGAAGGTCAAAAGTTTAAAATGAGTTCATCAAGGGAGGGGCGCCAAGCAGAGTATGCCAGACAGTGCCACTGGCGCTTGGATGAGTTCAAGGAGCCAGTGAACACTGCCCAGTGAAACTCTGCCCAGAGATGTGAATGGACAAAGGGCAGAAAAGTGGCCCCACAGTTCTCAGGGGTCTCCCCAACTAGATCCTCCTTTGGTATATTGCTAAGGCCAGGACTTGGTGGGGTCATGGATAGGGAGTGCATAAATGAAAAGGTGAGGGGAGCAGTGCAGCCAGAACCACCTCAGGGGACTTCAATACACCTACCCCACCCTCCAACAAGGGCTGAAAACCCCCCAGACCAAACTCTCTCCACTCCCTTTCCCCACTCCCATTCTGAAAACAGCAACAGGCAGAGAGGCAGTTTTGAAATGTCTTCATTTGAAACTTCATGCAATGAGGGTTAAGATTTTCACCCAATTGGCCATTTTGAAGTAGTGTGTAGCCATGCACCTGTGTTTGGCCATAGCTATAAACTGCTTTCTGTGGGCAGATCAGGCAAAAATTGCCACTTCTGCCTGCACCCTAAGGGTGGTAGCTCCTGTTGCTCCCTGTCTGATTTCGTTGGGACAAAGAGACCCTGAAGTACACAGAGACCTCCCTTTTAAAAAGGGAGTGGAACAGAGATGTAATTAGGAAGTTTTACAGCCTGGGCAGGGGTGACAGCTGGACCAGCAGCAACTGCGATTTTGGGATTCATAACAATAAGTAACTAGGTAATGATAAGAAGTATATAGACATTTATATCAATGCTGGAAGTCTAAAAACTGAGAAGTTTGTCACTCAGGAATGATACTGAAAGAAGGGATTTAAAACTAGAAATATTAGTCACCTATGTTGACTCTTCCCTAGTATATCCTGTTCATACATGTAAACAATCCTATTGTTATTATAGTCTCTGTTAATTTGCCAGGAACAGAAGTAAGGCTTCCAATTAGGACCATGCGCAGGGTGCAACAAAAAATGTGTGTTGGGATGTTAAGAATTATTTTGCAGTTGTGGAAAAAATAGTCTGCTCAAGGAAAGATAACTCACACTACAAAGGCCCCTGGTACCTTGCAAAAGAGCTGACCAGGTAAACAGAAGCAGCCCCCTTTTCATATACCCTCAGCAATGAGGAGGTGCACCAGTCAAGTGCCATGCTCTTCTATCCTGTGAACATGCAACAACCAATCTTTCTTAAATATATTTACATTTGCAATATCAAGCACTCAAACATTAAGACATGCCAGCATCAACTCTGTCTGTACAACTTTAATTTGGTGTACTGCGTTCTGATGCATTTTTAGTTACAAGATTACAAAATAGTCTTTTTTTCCACAGGCACTTTCTATCTCAGAGCAGTTTCTAACCCTGGTTGCTACATTTTTACAATTCCTTGTGCTGATAACTAACTTCAGTCCACAAGCCAGTAAGATGCAGAATCCTCACACACTGCCCAGGAGGATGTGCTCTGCTTTGAGAGGTAATGTCTGTCTTGCCTCTTCTCCTAAGGAAACAAGGCTTTCAGATGGCGGGAGTTTTAGGACCAAGATGCCAGTAGTGGAAATGAAACCAAAATACAAAAATGCTAACAACTGGATTAGTTGTTCTAATTTAGTTGGTCTAATAAAAGATATCACATTTACACAAGGAACCTTGTCTGCCTCTGTCCTTTGACCAATACAGCTACAACCAACACCCCCCAAAAACTGGATTATTAACTCATTAGATATTAACTCAAACTCATTAACATATGGAGAAGTTCTACAAGGCAAATTTGGTGAGATTTGTGTGATGAGTACAGCATAGTACGTAAATCACAAAAAATGAATCAACATACATTCAAAACAGATGTTTCAGAAAACATTCATTTGAAAAACATATTTGTTTTTCTTTGATAGATATCATGGAAGTCATCTATTAATTCTCTTATTTGCACTTCTGTAACTCTTCTGAAGCTAGTATATATGATTCATATATATGAGACACAAATTTGGCACTTAGCATAAATGGCTGAACAAATTAAACAAACAAACTTAAACAAATAAACTATCTGCAAATCTGCACAGCAAAATCTCAAAGCTCCTTTGACATCATGCATCTAGGATGATTCACCCCAGGTGAGGTACTGGAACATATATTACAAGCAAATTCAAGTCAGTATCTTCTCCACTGGCCCTGTCCGGACAACAATTCTATTCAGGATATACAATCATGATTTCCCTCATTTAAGATACAGTACATTTGGCAAATGAATCTGTAAGTGAGTGAGTAATGGCATCTTGTCATTTAGAAACTATGGTTAGAAGACAACCTCAATAATATTACCCTTGGGAGAGTGGGTAGGTTATGTATGAGTTAGTTCTTATTCTTTAGGGTGAGAATAATTAGTCACTTTCTATGAATACGTCCATTTCACAACGTACCAGGAATAGTACTCCAATGAAAGAAAACCCAGGCTGTCAAGTAAGGCTATGAAATAATTAGATGTCTGAAAGTGATTTGATTTTCAGAATGGGGATGGAACAGTAACCTTTTGACTGTGGTTCTGAATGTAGTGGAAGGAAAGAACTAGGAGGTTCTGAAATATTTTATATATACAGGGATCTAAACTCTTGAAACTTTCTTCTCAGCCATGTGAGTTCTTCTTCTCTTCAGCTGGATCCAGATGCCATTACTTGGCCGAAGAATCAAATCTCCTGCCAGGACAAGCTCTTCACGCTTTTGATATGTTTCCAACCAGAAGTGGCGTAGGAGGATGGCTAGAACAGCTTTCTCTTCCATCAGTGCAAAGCGCTGGCCTACAGGGTAAGTTGAAAAAAAATAGTTGGAGTGCAAAACAACCCCCACAACTGTCCAAAGCTCTCAGGGAATACAGTTTGGGGAATGACTATTTATCAGCTATCCAATTAAAAACTATTGTAGACCAAAATCAGGGTTTTTGAGATACTACTGGGAGTAGCTTTTCCCAGGACCCTATGGCTTCAAAACAAAAAGAGATTAAAGGGGACCCTGTAGGCTGAAGGGAATACCATGACATAAAATGTGGCCTGTTGTGTCTCTGATTGGCCTAAGCAAAGAATGGTTAAAACAAGACAAAAAAAGAGTAGGACAGGAGATGGGTTCAGCACCCAGAGCTTTGCTATTTTATGCACGTGCACAGATATATGGATGTGCACAAGCAGTAAAAGAATACATAGTACATTGTTATGCACTTTTAATACTATGCAGTGAGTTTGCTGGAAGACAACAAATAGGGCAGATAATAAAGGATTTCACAGAAAAATGGGGGAAAGACAATAGGCAGAAATAAACTAAGCAAATAGCAGCACACCCCATAAAACTGGCCAAAGATTTAGCCTAAAGAAGGAGAGGATGGAGAAAGTAGTGCTGAAATTCCATCATCCCTCAGTCCCTTCCCATTACACCAGTTAGGCAGTGGCCTGGAATGTCTACAAAGCATAAATACCTATAGACTCTATAGACCAAGAGGGTCTGTTGTGTGGAGTATGTTAATATTTGCTTAGTTTTCAAACTATGGTCTACAGACCTCTGATGGTTCACAGAGTATGTCTAAGGGGCCCATGAAAGATGAATATGATCAATCAAAACTACGTGAATACCCAAACTTACAATTCAAAAGGGTCCACACCTCCATTCGAAATTTCCAAAGGAGTCTACATCTCCATTAAAAAAATGTTTAGGGATCCGTAAATGAAAAAAGGTTGAAAGCCACTGCTATAGACTTTAATAATAAATTTCCCTAGCTGTAAGAAATTTGATCCCTCCTTCACCAGATGAAAATGGGATCAAAATAAAAGACAAATCTTTGATCGGTTTTAATATTTCAGTATCACTTAATAGTTTTGACTCCAGTGATCTTCTATAGCAACAGCAGAAATTCAATGAATGTTGCTGAGAGCACTGCCAGCAGTCAGGCCTTTGTCACTGAGGTGCACTGAAGTAACTTGTCACAACCCAAAGGGTGTGATTTTTGTTTTTGTGTGCTTCGGCACTGCTAAATTGTTCCCGCTAAATTATAGCTTCTTTGCACGGTGGAGTTTTCTGCTGCAAAAGAGAACCCCGGTGCAAGGGAGAATTTCCCGCCAATTTGAAGCTTTCTTTGCAGGGTGCATTTCTTTGTTGCAGCACAGAAATGCTCGTTGCAAAGAGTTCCCGCCATTTGTATGCTAATTCGAGTCCCATTATTGGCCAGTTCTAAATTATTCACACGTAGCGGCTAGTGATTGGCTTGCTAGCCGTATAAAAGGCTTGAGTGGTTTCCGCCCAAGTTGGAGGACTCCACGAACAAGGGAGGAGGAGACTTCACGCTGTGTGAAGATCTCTAAGCGCTGCGGATCCTTACGAACCCAGTGCATTTAAAGCAGGCAACGGAGGTCTGATCAACCT